AGGCAGTTGCATTTCCCTTATCCCACCACTCTTTAGGCCATAGTTCTGGAGGGTAGACTCACCTTTTATTTCATTTTGTATTATTGAGAGACAGAGAGAGAGAGAGAAATTATTCTTTATTCTACTTCTATCTGTCTGTACTCTCTCTCTCTCTCTCTTTCTCTCTGTTAAGTTTCATTGTTTCCAAGTAACTAATATGTACAATACAAGTGAGGATGTGTGATAAAATCATGCAGTGTATCTTTAGTATGTATGGATTACCCAGACTAGTACTATCAAAGACAGGAGCCTCTGCTTTAACTTGGATCTTGATTTGCATCAGTGGTCCTCAATCTTCAATGCCAAAGATGTTTTCAACTTCAACCATCAGAAAACCTGACCATGGCTAGGGTTTCTGGGAAACGAAGTCCAAAATGATGAGAGCCACTGATATCCATCACTATTTAACTGGTTAGATTTTGAACATAGAAAGTGCAACTCCTTTGGCAGAAGACCATTCCTTGCAGTCTGTCTGCTACAGGGGAGATTCTACAAACCACAGGCATTTACAGCCTAGCGCTTTACAAACTGTGCATCCATGGATTGCTGGACATGGTTCCCTCTTCCATTCTGCAAGTTGACATGATTACAATGCTCACTGAAACTGAATCACTCAAGGCTGCAATTCAGTCTTGGCTGGAGAGACAGATGATGGCTTTCAAGAGGGACAAAAATGGTATGATAAAGGCTTCACTATGTATTATGTGCACACACACACACACACACACTTTCCCGCACTTCTCCATGGTCAAGAATTTTGCAAGCTTTTGAAACAATATAGAATGTATGACTCTGATTGCCTGAAATGTCAGTATAACAACTAGAGACAACATGGGCAAAAATATTTCTCTTCTGTCACCTATGTTAATGCTTTGAAACGTTTTGGAAAAGCAACCCTTTTCAAGCCACAAAGGATTAAAAAGAGAGCAGCAGGGAGATAATAGTCTATACAGCAATCTTAATAGTTGGAGATTATTTTACTAACCTAGCATGTATTGAAAAATAAGGATCGGCATGCTTCAGTGAGTAAAGCTGGGGATGTGTGCTAGATAGCACTAATGGTTTTTAAAAGGCAGCCAATGGCGCCATCTCTGATACACACTCGTACACATTTCCGATGAAATAAACTGGAGCAACTGAAGACCTCCCTTGTACAATGTTCACTAATTTTAATGGGACATGTGTAAAATAAAAGCTGGTTGGATAACTCAGTGGTTTAGTTATCTTACTGCAGAGCCAGGGGTTGGGAGTTTGATCCCCCCCGCACCTTGTTTCCCAGGGGAAGAGCCAACCTGTATAGTGGACTTGAGCAAGCTGCACAGTCCCAGGGTGCCTCAGAAGAAGGGGATGGGGAACCACTTCTTTGTATTCTCTACCTGGAGAAAGGTTTTCTATAAATCAGAATTGACTTGAAAGCATGGAAATGTTAGAATTATACGTAAAATAATTTTCCAGTGGGCTGTGCCTTGAACAGAAATTACTGCTTCCTGTGTTTAATACAGAGCTTAGGGAAGTTGCTTTTGTAGACTCCATCCTTCAGAACCTCTCCGCCACGTATTCTGAGAGTTGGTCCAATCAATCCCCACAACTTTCACCCAAAGTCTGCACAAAATGGAGAGGGAATTTTTAATATAGCCTTGGGAAGGAAAGGTTCAACGGCTAAATACGGTGGGGGCAGGGAGGTTTTTTGAGTTTAGAGAAAATGGTATTCTAACATAAGCTCTAGCAAGCACTACCAATTATCTAGGCTTGACATCTTACTTGCACTGTAAAGCTGCTGCTTCACTTAGACACCAGTTTATAATCTCTCTGTCTCTTTCCTTTTTAAAAGCATAAGCAAGATTGAACGTTTGAGTCCGGTGAATTAATCTTTTAAATAAATAGCTCATCCATCATTTTAGTCCAATTGACAACTCCATTTCAGACCCCAAGGGAGGAAACTAATAAACTTCTAGTTACTTTGCTATTGTTTTCCTAAAACAATTTGACTTCCTTTGCGATAGCCCTGAATTCCTCCATTAAAAATAGAGAGGCTGGGAGCTGAAGGAAGTGTTTTGAGACAGCCAAGTCGCCGCTTTCAGTAAAGCTTCCTTGGGACCACATTTATAACCCAATCCATGATGATGACTCTGTAGGAGTCTGACAGCTGCTGAGGCATGTCATACAGCACTCAAGCTGCAAGACCCTAGAGCCTGTTTCGTTTAGGGGGTTTGGGGAATCTCCAGCTATCCCATACAAGAAGACGTGGAGTTCCCCAACACTCATCAAAACTGTGTTGATCATAACTGAAGGTTCCTCCATCAGAGTCCCTACTAGATACAAAGATAAAAGGTAAGTTCTTGCAAGTCCTAATGTTGACCCCAATATGTAATAGTTTGTAACTTTCTTTATAAAATCAGTTTCACATTCAACATTCTGGCTATTGAAACCTGCTGGAATGAGTAAAAATAACGTAGAAGTATTTTTGTTTTGGGGGGGGAGTGGTCCTTAATTTGAACTGGCTTCAAATAAACTTTCTTATGTTAATTAGATTTTATTGTCTACAGATCTGGAGGTGATCTGTTCTTTGCTTCTTAGTAAATTATATATCATCTCATGTTGCATTTCCTATGTTGGGACAATAGGAAAACATAAGCTCCATGCTGGCTTCAGTACCTGAAGAGAGCATTGCACTCAACTAACTGTATGAAACTGTAGACACAACTGAATGTAATAGTTGTGAAAGATCAGGGGTTAAAAAGAACAGAGCCCTGTGACAATTTAAGGACTAGCAAATTATTATGTCATATGGTAGAGACCACTTAATAAAAGTGGGGGGGGGGATAGTGGAAATCAGCAAGTACAAAGAAGAGAAATTCTTTGTAATAGCTCTTATTAAGTTCACATCTACATTTCCACTAAGGGTTTGTTTATTTTAATTTCACTTGCAATTCTGACACTGTATGATTTAAATGCTTAGTCTCCTGCCCATAATGCAAATCAGTTTGTCTCACTGCTCCTGTTACCTAATCTTTGGTTTTACCAAGTGATGCACTCCCTGCATCCAAAGAAACAAACTACAGTCCACAAATGCTAATGCCAAATAAAACCTGTTAGCCAAAAGGTTCTGACATTTCTGCTGCAACAGACTAACAGCTATTTTCTTGGAAGTTTATTGAAATGCTATGATTACGCCAAACTACCTCTTCTTGTTTTGAATTCTCTTTACAAGGCTCTGTATTTCATAAAAAGGCATACTCATTACATTGCAGATATTGACTAGCATGACATTTCTTCCCATCCACATTGCTCTGCTTACTATCAATTTATATTTCTATGCTCAAGTCCTGCTATGTATGTTTTCCCACAACAGCTCTTCTCATTACCACCTCCTTCTTCAGCTCTTGGTATATTAAGCATTTCTTCTCTGTGGGCCCCATTGGAAACAGAGAAAGATGCTACAATACTTTTTATTAAGAACAATATGACCATAGAGGACAGTAGTGGCTGAGACGGACAGTTAAGGTAACTTGAGGCTTGCTTGTCTAATGTGCTTCCTTTTTGAAGTCGACTGATATTCTCAGCAATGACTTGCAATCCTTTTCCATTTGGTTAACTTTCAGCTCTTTCCTAAGGTTAAAGTAGCATCCTAAGCAACTTCAGAGAGTCTTCTTACCAAAATAATAATAATAATAAATCCTTTCCCCCCTCTTATTTCTCCTTGGCTGGAAGATTAATTACACCTCATCACACCTACTATTCCATAAGCTTCTTTTTTGTCCTTCTTGAGACGCTAACCATGACTTCTTTCCCAATTTTCAAATAGGATACCAGTCCCACCCGACCATTGGTTGGCCCTGGGGATCTGTTTGTATAAACATGTAACTGGACCTGCATGTACAGGGGAAGACATTGGGAGGGTTGTGCAGAAAGAAATGATGGTCAGGGAAAGGGTTTGGCATCTCCCTTTATTTCCCCATTGAAGGTCACACTTGCACCTACTCAAACCTACTTTCTTCTATCAAGAAAATAAATAATAATTACACAGCCAAGAATGAAGTAAGATCCTTTCGAAGTAAGGTCCTTTTGAGGGGAAAGGTGGGTTATAAATAATGCCCTGGTGGTAACACATTTACAATCAGTAAAATAAATAAATAAATAAATAACTAAATGCAGGTTTGTGAGGATGGTTGTAGATATAACCCTTTACATTTCTCATACTGTGAAAAAAATCTCATATTTTATGAATCCTATCAACTCTGAAAGATTGAGAGACTGAAATGAAAGAGATGAACATCTGGAAGTCAAAGGCAACACAGGATAATAGGATAGCTTTAAAACTGGATGGAAGACATTCAATGTCCTGAGGGAAACCTGAGTAGTAATGTGGCCCAATGGCTCCTTACGATTAGGTACGATGAAGTATTGCCTTGGGCAGCTGATTTTGATTTTCATGAACTGGCAGCAAATTGTAATATAATTTATTTATTATTATTATTATTATTCTGTTGACTACAAGAATGGGAGAAGGAGCTTGGGGGATCTGTTTTGCCTTGTGGGGCAAAAAAAATATGGCTACTCCTGGGTACTGTGCACTCTGACTTGGAGGTAGATCCATTTTTTGCTCTGCCTCAAGCTTTGTGCCCTCTCTCCTAGCATACTTCCAACCAAAAGTGAAGCGGGTTTCCCAGCACAAGTTGTTGTTCTAGCATATTTTGGAGCACAGCTCTTGCCCTCCTTGGAAAACTTTGCTATTTGTGAGAAGTCACAATCAGTGTTCTCAACAGACTACTTCTGTTGCAGACAGAGCTCTTTTAATTCTATTTTTAACTTCCTCATGGACAAATGTTTGTTTATGTATGTATAGTATATAGTCCTCTCATCACCACCAAGCAAAGTGCTATAAGCAAAATAAGGGATTCTGAGCACTGGGAACTGGAATTTGATTGGCTGAGCTTCACAGAAGTAGCCAGGGACAACCTACCTCTGCTCCACTCTGTACTCAACTATCCCTTTTGCTTCTTGAGTGGGGAAAACTTTCTCAGAAAGCTCTGGTAACACAAGGGGTATCATAGCCTCACACTTCCAAGGAAATCTTGATAACAGCTTGCTTCTGAAGAGCAGCGCTTGTGTGTCCAGACAAGTGAAAAGAGCAGTGTTAAAAACAGCAGTCAGAGTTGAACAAGTCTGAAGAAACAAGTTAGACAAGGATACCATGGAGAAAGGCCTAAAATGAAAAAGGAAAGCCTATAAAATGATATTTAAAATGGAAAGGTGACTAAGACAGGGGTGAGTGAGACAGAGCAAGAAAAGAAAGAAAAGAAAGAAAGGAAAGAAAGGAAAGAAAGGAAAGAAAGAAAGAAAGAAAGAAAGAAAGAAAGAAAGAAAGAAAGAAAGAAAGATGGCGATAATGACAGAATAGAAAATACTCCTTACTGATTAACAAGGAACAATTTCCAGGAACAAGAGGAGATTCATGTGAGTAAAACTGATATTTAGAAATTTATTTCTGTTTTCAAGGTCTTTTGTATACAAATAATATCATAATTTGTCATAATAATATATTGCTAAAATAACACTCACCTCCTTTATGATATTTCCAATGTGCAATGTACCATTTTAGACAAAATAACTGCAAACAGAAAATAAGTCTGAAGGGAGAGTGTAAGCATATGACTAAAGAGACAGGCTTCTCCACTTTTGAACCAAAGAAACACACTCCTAGGAATCTGAAATAGGCTTTCTTTCATTGAAATTAGTGTGATCAATATTGATAACTATCAGCAGGAACTAGGAAGTGTAATGAGAATTACCTTTCTAGCCAAGATTTCAAGTTTCATCAAAATCAGTGCAACTGGTGATAGGAATCTTTTCTAAAAGGAAGATTTTTTCCCAGCACAATCTTGGGGGATAATTTTTAGCCAGATGTTGGTATATACAGTGCATCACCTCTAATATTTCAATTTTTCTTTCTCTTGAAACCATGTTTGCATAATTTGGAGTTACTGGAGACTATATCCTTCTAATGCAAGAAATGAGTTCAGGTGATACTGTATCCCAAACTTGTAAAAGTTACTTTTTTGAACTACAAGAATTCCTTACCTTGCATGGCCAGTAACCATGACGTTGTAGTGCAATTAACTTTTCAAAGTTTTGGCTACAGCCTTACCCTTAGGAAATCTTCCCATAATCACTTGCACAATGTCACAAGCAGTAATTCAGTGTCATACCCCTTTTGTTCTCTTTATACATTCCCGTTTAGCTGTTTTTTAAATAGAATTTTGATATCATGTAACCACAGGAATCAGTAACCTCTAGAGATGTCTTCTGCTATAATTGAAATGGATGGTTGTTGCTGCTGCATTTTATTTGTTTTTGTCTGATAATGTTATTTTATTGTTTTGAGCCTTTGGGGAACAATTGTGTTTTATTTCTTACATAGTATTGACACTGGCAGTAGAACCCTTGTTCCTATATGTTTTAACTTGGAATAAGTCCCACTGAGTTGTAATGGCATTTATTGTTAGGGTAGCTTTATTCCCACTACAATGAGACTTGCTACTGAGCATAAATGTATAGGAATGCATTGAATGATTCTCTGTTTGTACGAGTGTATTCTGGTGACAGTGATGGCATTTGTACCCAGAGTCTTTTAATCTTAGAAAAATCAGTGAACATGCCCCCATGACCTGGAACCTGAATACAGAATTGTCCTCTGATTTGATGCTATAGATTAGCCTTAGAAACCCAAAGCTTATTTACCTGAAAATAAGTCTTCATGACACTTGGATGAAAGTGTGCTCAGATTTCAAGGCCAAATCTTGCTATGGGCTAAGTAGAGTTGTTATTATGTGCCACTTAAGTCACTTCCCTCTTATGTGACCCTATGAATGTATGAACTTTAAAAAAAAATCATATTATTAACCGCCCTGCCCAAATCTTATCAATTTACTGAGTCAATCTATTTCACACTTTTCACTTTTCCTCACTTCATTACCTTTCCCAGTATTGTCTCCTCATGATACAACCAAAGTACAAAAGCCTCAATATTAGCTATTTAAGGTTCTACTGGGAATCCAGGCTTGATTTGCTGTAAAACATTTGTTTGTCTTTCTAGTAGTGCATGCCAGCTGTAAAGCCCTCCTCAACACCAAATTTCAAATGTATCTTTTTCCCATCAACTTTTTTCACTGACCAGTTTTCACATCCATACATGGTCATCAGAAATACCACAATATGGATGAACTTGCCTTGGACTGCAGTAAAACATCCTTACACTTAAGGATCACTTCTGGTTCCTTTATACTGCCATTCCAAGTCTCAGTCTTCTTCTGATTTCTTTGTTGCAGTTTCCACTTTGATGACTGAACAAAGTTACAAAAACTCTTCAACAAATTCAGTTTCTTAATTGTCAGCATTAAAGTTCTCTGTTTCATCTGTAGATATATTTGTCTTCTTGTTCACCTGTAATCCTGCTTTTGTGTTTTCTTCTTTCATGTTCCTCTGGAGTAGTTTCAAGTCACTGTTGTTTTCTGCCAGTAAGAAGGTGTCATCTGCATATGTTAAATTATTGGTCTTCCACCAGTTTTTACTCCTTCTTTCAACTGAATTAAATCCAGCTTTTCATATGTGTTGCTTCTACTTATATTCTGTCCCATAGTGTTAAAGTACTCTCTGAGCAGTTTACAACATAATTCTGCAAATAACACTTTATATTTATATAAAATTTCTACATGTGGATAGTGAAATAAAATATACCCCAGTTTATCACTTTGCTAAATGGAAACTATTCTGGTTCTCCATAGTGTTCCCTAAAAATAGTCTCTTGTCCAGGGTATAGAAAAATAAAATGTTATGGCACCTCTATGTCTTTCACAATGTGCCATAGCATAGCTTTTCATGATCTACTCTAAGCAGAAGAGATCCACTGAAATCAGTGGGGCTTACATTAGTCTGATCATTTCAGTGGGTCTCCTCTACATGAGACCATGGGGTTTAACCGTATAAATGAAGCCAGGTGAATGCTCTAGCTAGATAGTGGTACATTCTTCACTTAATTCTCCAATGTTGGAGTTATATCTTATTGACACCAGAAGCTTTATTCATCATAAGTACTGTACCCATAAGGTAAAATCATCAAATAAAGAAGCCACAGAATTAAATAGTGCTACTGTTGACATGCCTGTTGGACCAAACAGGAGAAGGATCATTATCTCAGCATAGGGAAGTACTGCATTGTTAACTTTGCCAATGATCTGAAGTCAGCAGAAATACATTATATATTCCTAACCTTCTTGGTTGAAAATCCCAACAATTTCCATCCAGAAAATTCCTTTGGCAGGATGTTATGTTGCATGTTCCACATGGAATTAGAGATTTCACTGGATATTATATCTACATGAGATATTTGCCATACCTTGGAAAATTACTTTTGAGGAAGCAACTTATCTTGTAAGTTGTTAAAGTCATCCTCCCTTCACTCGTGTAATTTACAACACTTTTCCTTATTGGAATGTGTATGATTGCATTTATGCTGAAAGAATGAAAAGGAATTTCATTTGGGTCCCCCCCTCCCTTTTTTTTTAGCTTTTCAAAATTCATAGATGTCTTTTCAAATTTGGCAGGGAGAACTTGAGTTTTAAAGAACTCTGGTACAGGAAAAAGCAAAAAATGACAGCTCTGCCCAACAAAGGCCAAAAAAGTGCTTTGGTTTTAAAGGTGACTTTGAATTCCTGTCAAGTCAACAACATCTTTGGTGCTGAATTATGGTTGCCACTAGAGGTGGGCACAAATCACAGTTTGGTGGTTCAGCTCAGTTCAGTGTGGCACCTATACAGGTGTCCCACAGGGGTCACACCTTGCCCCCCCTTCTCTTCTGTGCACTCACTCATTCCCTGGCTGAAACATGCTTCCCTCCCCAATCTCCTCAGCATGATTGCCTACTCACGGATTGCAACGTGCACTTCCCTTCTCTGCCTTCCCTAGCAGCTGTCCACTGAAAGGTAGCCCTGCGGGCTTCCCTTGTCTGAGTTCATGGCCACTGGAGGAGGCAGAGGGAAGCGCATCTGCAATCCCTGAGTGGGCAATCATGCTGAGGAGGTGGGGGAGGTAAGTGCAGTTTGCCCAGGGAGCATGCAGAGGAGGTGGGATAGGGGAGTGTTTGGCGCCCGCAAAACACCTGCACTAAACTGGGCTGAACTGCTAAACCGTGGTTCATGTCCATCTCTAGTTGCCACCTCTTTTTTCTAGCAATAAATCCATGACACTCATATAGAGTATTATTCTCTCCAAGAATGGAATAGCTGTACCTAATGAATTGGGCTGGTACAGATAGTTATGAATGTTTGGTCAACTTTTAAATTTAAGAACTTATAAAAATTCACAAACATTTTTATAACTTTTTCGTACCACAGCCTGAGATTTCCTTTTTTAAGAGGTCCTTGATCTCCTGGTTTCTATTAGTACGAAGAGTTCTGAAATGGAAAATGCCACATCACTTAAACTGAGAAATACAGAAACTGATTTTAGGTGGTGCTCTATATTGAAAATCAATAGAAAGCCCAACTTGAGGTGTTTTTCCTGCCTATATCATCTTCCTGAATTTTGCAATGCTGGAAGAACTTCTTCAGAGTTCAGGCTTCAAAATGGTGAAATCCATAGTCATTTGGGAACTATGCAAAGTATTCTTACTGCCACAAGTATAACGTTATTTTTACCACTTACAGTTTATTTTATCCCTGTGCCTTGCCCTTGGGAATGTCAGTACTGCGCTGGAAAGAATTTGAAGCATACCAGAATATGCCATCGTTTTCTCTTGTAGTTCTTCCCTCTTTGGCACGTAGGTGGATGTCACACAAACTTCTCTGTTGTCCTTGCCTCCTTTGTCTTGTGGGTACTAAAAAGAAATGGGTAGAAAACTAGGTGCAGGAAGGATGAATTTCAGCATGATTCCAATGAATGGCTTAGGTAAAGCAAGATGAAGAATGTCCCCAAATATGTGATATTGGGGAGCAAATTTCAGAGGGGAGAGAAGAATACATGTGTGTTTTTTTTATTGATAGAATGAACAATCTTGCTTTCCTGCTCTAGAAGAAAAAAAAATTCTATATTTCAAAGCCCCCAAATCTAATTTAATTATTTTTCAGTGAATAGTTTTGGTAATATAGCAATCCTGCACAAAACAAATAGTTCCTTCCCTTAAAATTTAATACTTCAGTAGGATTAGGACAATTTAAACATCACTAGTGCACAAATTATAGGTGTGTGATGTTTTACCTTCCTGGTTAATCTGCATCTCACCTTTCTAGCTAATCTGCCCAATATGGTTCTCTCATCAGACATATGATACATATGTACCATACATATAAATAGGAAACAGCCATTTTGGGGGTAGGAACCAGTGATGGACTTCCCCGGCAGAATAGCAGAATCCAGTAGACTTGGAAGGAGGCGATCACCCTTCCACTCTGCCATCCATT